TTCCAAAATGTAATTTATGTGAAAATATGAAGTCTGTAAACGCCTGTTAACACAGGCCAGAGACGCTGAAGACGGACACACAGAGAAAAATACTGTAGGCAGATCACTGTACTGTAGCAGATCATGATGCACAAACTATTGGGCTTTATTTTTCTTCTTTTTAGGAAACAAATCAAAGAAAAATAAACATTCTACTGTTCCTAATATTCTGTATGTTGCTCAAAAACAAAATATATTGTGTTCAGCGGAAACAATTTTTTTTTTTTACCCAGTCATTTAAAAAAATAACACATTTTAGAGCTGTAACGACAATACCGTGATACCGTGATACCGTGAAACTTTGATATTTTTGCTTAAGGTTATCATACGGTCAAAATCTCATACCGGCCCATGCCTAAACTCAACCTCTACAGCCTCCTCATGAAAATTGTAGATTGGTTCCAGGAGAGGGGGCTGCTTTTTGCTTATGGTCTTGCAGTTGCATTGCTGCTTGCTGGTTGAATTGATGGTAAACTTTCATTAAAACATCTGGATTTACTCACAAAGGCTGATTTTAAGCTGTCAAATCTGCCTCTTTTTTCCAGGTTGAGTGGCTGAAAAATGAAGAGCTGGTGAGTTCTATTGAAGACATTAATATCGACACTCGAGCTGACCACAACTTGATCATCAATGAAGCAAGGCTGTCTGACTCTGGAAACTACACCTGCCTGGCCAGCAACATTGTTGCTAGGAGACGTAGTGCCACGGCAACAGTCATTGTGTTTGGTATGGAAACATGTTTTGAATATCATTATCATTAAAATATAATTTTGGTTACTATTTAGTACACTTTGCTCTAAACGTTTTTTTTTTTCTGTGGCTCGGCAGTTTATATGAATCATCCACAACTGATTTGTTAAAAAACATTGATTCATTAAGGAACAAAACAAATGACTATATTAATGGATGAGTCACTAAATCATTCATAACCAGTTTGTTCAGAAACACTGATTTATTCAGGAACAAAACAAGCGACTGTCTTTATAAGCATGTGATTATTATTGTTATTATTTACTAAAACAATTTGTTTTAAAAACACTGATTAATCATTCAATGACTCACTTATAAAAATGTAATATAAATCAGCGTTTTAAATTAATCGTTTGAATCAATCATTGACTCATACAGACCTGACACTTGTTGCCACCTACATCACAGTGTAATCTAAAACACTGAGTCATTCAGAAACAAAGCAAGTGTCTGTCTTTCATCATTCACAACTGATTGTTTAAAAACACTGATTAATTCAGGAACAAAACAAGAGGCTGTCTTTATGATTGAGTCCCCGAATCATTCACTCAAATGAAACACTCACTCGTAAAGGCAGTCAGTTGTATTGCTCCTGAATGAATCAGCATTTTTTAACGAATCAGTTAAATGAATGAATCACTGACTCACTCATTAAGGCTTGTAACCATCAACCCATGTTATGATTTAAACTCTAAAAAGAGTGACTGAAAAAAAATCCCTCATGCTCAGACTGACAGTCTGTCGGGAATGTGCAAACACAAACAAGCGGAGTGACACAAACAGTGAAAAATCCAAGTTATGCTGAATGTTTGAATAAGCAAAAGTATGAATGGGGTATGAGAGCTACAGATTCCTTAAATGCTATGGAAGGAAGCAATATTTTTCTCATCCTTTTGAGTGCAAGTGCCAGAAAAGTTACTGCAGATCACAATATGTGAAAGTTTGGCACGTTGCAGAATGGCGCTGCCCATCCATTTAGTCACCTACACCGACCTTCACTCTAACAGTTTACAAAAAATTATCACCAATAAATCACCATCCCCCCATGACACAGCACCCACGTTTTTTAAATCCCCAATAATTCATCAAGCGAGACGTAATGTAGAAATACACCGTTTCATCATTTCTCCAGACCTGTGTCTGCGTGAGGCCATCACTTAGACCCCCGGTTTGAGTTTGATTATCTATTTTTGTCAACACATATAATGAGTTAATGATTCTAACGCTCCCTGTGTGGCCAGCATTGCCACGGTTCAGGCTCCATTAGCCTAATTGACATGGTCTCCTAGTGTTTTATCCTCAATATTTTGATGGTAAGGTAATATGGCGCACTCTCTCTCCCTCTGTATGGCTTCTGAGAGTCAGTCACAGATGAAGGCTAAAGCTGGCAGTTTCAGAGGCTTGATTAAACGCACTGAAAAGCTTTGACATCCGCTGTCAGAAGCAGGCAGCGCTGATTGAGCGCTAGCTGACTGATCCGCAATTAACGTTTAGTAGCTAGCGTAGCATCTACAATATAACATGACTCCCAGCACTGCTTAAGAGAAGGGAAATTAGCAAATGTTATATTTGGCTTACATCTAATTTTTAGAGGTAGTGCGTTGTACCCCCTATTGTGCAAAATCTGTGAAATTAATAAACAGAATATGATATGTTTTAGCAGTAGTTCAAAACAAAACCCTTTTATCATAATGAAACTGCCACTACTGGTTATTCTCAAATTTATCTGTCCTTCATTTGTCCGCTTCATGTATTAATTCATGAGAATCTATCTTAGTCATTTCTCATTAAGTCCTCAACGTGGCTGTTAGCGTGTGTCCGAGACATGTTTATGTAGTCCTAGTCAATATGGAATGGCATCTAATGTAATATCTTGTATAAGCCAGTTTCAATCGCTTCCTTGTACCAACTAAAAGATCAAGTCATAAGTCGAGTTAATTAGATGGAGTATTTCGTAGAGCTGTGTGTGCTGCTTTTAGTCCTGCAGCATGCAAGTACACATAGATTGCAGAGACGTCTGCAAAGTTGCACACATCTGGAAAGCATTGATTCCATTTTGAGTCTCTTATTTGTGTGTAAACATTTCATATACAGCCAATTCACACACAAAAGATAATCATAGATAATCACTGGCTTGTGAGCAGTAAGAGTGTGAGAGATTGATATTATGTCTATTTATTTTATTTAGAGATGTTGGAGTCCTCTTGCAGTTTTTGGTTCCAGAGCCTGCCTTACTGTATGTAGTTGTATGGGAAGTGAAACTCTCCAAATTGAATCATGTGGTGTGGATAAACAGTGTGTTCCAGTAGGCTGTACAGTATTGCAGATTTGAAACTCCTTTCAAAGAACGCAGTAAAGAACGAGGCCAATGTTAATCCACTCTTTTTTTCTCTCTGTTTCAGTGAATGGAGGATGGTCATCCTGGACGGACTGGTCAGAGTGTAATGTCCACTGTGGGAGAGGAGTTCAGAAGCGGACACGGACCTGCACTAACCCCGCTCCACTTAATGGAGGGGCTTTCTGTGAAGGAATGTCCGTTCAGAAGAGCACCTGCACGTCTCCGTGCCCAGGTTAGAGACTCAACAGTTAGCCTGTGAGTTGTGAGCTTGCAGTCTGAACTAAATGTGATGAGAGAGGAAGACCTGGGTATCTCAGAAAAAAATCTGTTATCCTCAATGTATACAACTCAGTTAATCTAGTCTGATTTGTGAATAATATTATGAGTCTTATGTTTGGGGTTGGTAATTTTTTTATAAATATAAGAGACTTTCAAAAATATAATATGTTCATCAAGATCAAAAATACAATAAAAACACTAATATTGTAAAATATAAACATTTTACATAACTGTTATATTTTAATATGTAATGTATTCCTGTGATGGCAAAGCTGAATTTTCAGCATCATTACTCCAGTCTTCAGTGTCACATCCTTCAGAAATCATTCTAATATTCAAGTGACAATATTATGTATACTGAAAAAAGTTTTGCCGCTTAATATGTTTTTGTAGAAACGGTGAAACATTTTTTCAGGATTCTTTAATGAATTGAAAGTTCAGTAGAACAGCATTATTTGAAATCGAAACCTTTTGTAACATTATTTATTAACATTAAATGTCTCTACTGTAACTTTTGTTCAATTTAATGCATCCTTGCTGAATAAAAGTATAAATTTCTTATATATTATTTATTATCACAACATTATATATATATACAGTGGGTACGGAAAGTATTCAGACCCCCTTAAATTTTTCACTCTTTGTTATATTGCAGCCATTTGCTAAAATCATTTAAGTTAATTTTTTTTCCTCATTAATGTACACACAGCACCCCATATTGACAGAAAAACACAGAATTGTTGACATCTTTGCAGATTTATTAAAAAAGAAAAACTGAAAAATGCTCAGTATTTAGTAGAAGCACCCTTTTGATCTAATACAGCCATGAGTCTTTTTGGAAAAGATGCAACAAGTTTTTCACACCTCGATTTGGGGATCCTCTGCCATTCCTCCTTGCAAATCCTCTCCAGTTCTGTCAGGTTGGACGGTAAACGTTGGTGGACAGCCATTTTTAGGTCTCTCCAGAGATGCTCAACTGGGTTTAAGTCAGGGCTCTGGCTGGGCCATTCAAGAACAGTCACAGAGTTGTTGTGAAGCCACTCCTTCGTTATTTTAGCTGTGTGCTTAGGGTCATTGTCTTGTTGGAAGGTAAACCTTAGTTCCAGTCTGAGGTCCTGAGCACTCTGGAGAAGGTTTTCGTCCAGGATATCCCTGTACTTGGCCACATTCATCTTTCCCTCGATCGCAACCAGTCGTCCTGTCCCTGCAGCTGAAAAACACCCCCACAGCATGATGCTGCCACCACCATGCTTCACTGTTGGGACAGGTGATGAGCAGTGCCTGGTTTTCTCCACACATACCGCTTAGAATTAAGGCCAAAAAGTTCTATCTTGGTCTCATCAGACCAGAGAATCTTATTTCTCACCATCTTGGAGTCCTTCAGGTGTTTTTTTAGCAAACTCCATGCGGGCTTTCATGTGTCTTGAACTGAGGAGAGGCTTCCGTCGGGCCACTCTGCCATAAAGCCCCGACTGGTGGAGGGCTGCAGTGATGGTTGACTTTCTACAACTTTCTCCCATCTCCCGACTGCATCTCTGGAGCTCAGCCACAGTGATCTTTGGGTTCTTCTTTACCTCTCTCACCAAGGCTCTTCTCCCCCGATAGCTCAGTTTGGCCGGACGGCCAGCTCTAGGAAGGGTTCTGGTCATCCCAAACGTCTTCCATTTAAGGATTATGGAGGCCACCGTGCTCTTAGGAACCTTAAGTGCAGCAGAAATTTTTCTGTAACCTTGGCCAGATCTGTGCCTTGCCACAATTCTGTCTCTGAGCTCTTCAGGCAATTCCTTTGACCTCATGATTCTCATTTGCTCTGACATGCACTGTGAGCTGTAAGGTCTTATATAGACAGGTGTGTGGCTTTCCTAATCAAGTCCAATCAGTATAATCAAACACAGCTGGACTCAAATGAAGGTGTAGAACCATCTCAAGGATGATCAGAAGAAATGGACAGCACCTGAGTTAAATATATGAGTGTCACAGCAAAGGGTCTGAATACTTAAGACCATGTGATATTTCAGTTTTTCTTTTTGAATAAATCTGCAAAAATGTCAACAAATCTGTGTTTTTCTGTCAATATGGGGTGCTGTGTGTACATTAATGAGGAAAAAAAATTTACTTAAATGATTTTAGCAAATGGCTGCAATATAACAAAGAGTGAAAAATTTAAGAGGGTCTGAATACTTTCCGTACCCACTGTATATATATATATATATATATATATATATACACAACACATTTGCAATAATTTTTTACAATTTATTTATTTATATTATTATTATTGTTGTTGTTTTTGTTGTTGTTGTTGTTGTTGCTTTTTCAATTCTAGACCAAATTAACATGCACTCATCAATATGGTTACATACTGTTACAGTAGCTCTCCTAGAAATTTGCCTGCACAAAATGTGCTCTTTCCTCTCCAGCTCTTTCTTGAAAACCCAGTGCATTTTGCCAGCAGATTCAACAGTTCAGTCAGCTGGTCAGTCAGGCAGCGTGAATATGTCTCACTGCTATGCCTTGTTAATTAAACATGCTTTCTGAACAAATTGATGGCTAATCCATCTCTCTGAGGAACGTAACAGTATGTGCTGCATTTGAATTGACCTCAGTGGCATAAGCCTCTTGAGTTTTACAGTTGATATGTGTCTGCGTTCTGTTAATGTGACACTGTCATTCTCACAGATTTCCTGTTTACTGTCTAAAGCGTAATACAATGCTCTTCGTAGCGAACAAAAGAGATGGAGCAAGACAGATAAATGGGTATGAAAGGAATTCTGAAAGACAGACAACTGGAAAAAAACATGTGAATGTGACAGAGATTTGACAGTAAGAGAAAATCGGGATAACGAAATTCCATAAGTCTAGGGAATCAAGACGGACATATGAAAGGAGAAAGACTGAGGAGCAGAAAGAGAAACCTGATGGAGCGAGAGAAAAAAATCAGTCACCGGGTCCTTGGGTACTCTTACGCTGGCTAAATTTATGGTGTCATTGGAAGCACCAATCACATGGGAACCACTAGTCATGTGGGGGAAAAGTTATCTGAGGAGGGCACGGCGAAAAAAAAAACTTAATCTCGCTCTCCAGCCCAGCTCAATCCCAGTACCCCACTCAACAGAGACACACAAACACGGCATTTGCATTTAGATTAGCCGCACAGGAAACACCAGCAGCCCATGGAATCATTAGGGTAAAGGGGAAAGCCTGATGGAACAAGACAAAAGTAAATTGTCTTTTGCTTTTGTCAGAGACAAACCTTGAGAGGGAAAGTCCTGGAATTATAGGAACACCACCCACAGAAAGGGGAATCGAAATGAGTGACCATTCTGAGAGAGCGTTTATATCAGATACATAAGATTGTTCTGAGAGGAAGTGTGAATTCCAGTTTTTTAGTTGCAAACTCTCCATATGAAACTTTTTATGCGCTCTAATGAAAATGTGTGTCTTTGTGTGTGACAGTGGACGGTGGCTGGGCCAAGTGGACTATGTGGTCTGTGTGTAGTTCTGAATGTGAGAGGCAGCGCACTAGAGAGTGTACAGACCCGGAGCCAAAACACGGAGGCAGACTGTGTGATGGAGCCGCCCTGGACATGGACAACTGCACAGGAGACCTTTGTATTCAAGGTGGGAAATAGTCACCCACTGTCATCATCATCACTATCATCTCCATCTTTGGCATCACTGCTATCATCACCAGAGTGTATGCCAATCAGAACTGAATTGAGAATCCTTTATTTTAGAATTTAGTTTCAATTTGAAATTTGAAAAGTGAATTGGATGCAGAGTTGTAATTCAGATTTTAAATGAAGGAAGTAGAACTGAACTGAAATTCAGAAATTCATGACAAGTAACACAGTAAGTGTCATTCTTAAACAGAAAAAGGTGTGTCAGCACAATCTTTGCATTTTGACTTGAGGTTTGAATGTTTAAAAACCTACAGACAAAAAGATTTGTTTGAAATATCAGCTGTAGAAATTTGTAGCAATGTGTACTATTATAAAAACAAATGTTGTATATGTATTAAACAGTATAATTATTGATACATTTTAATAAATGTATTATTTTTTAATTTATTTAAAATGTAGTTTTAATTTATATTATAAATATTGTTTAAATTTATTTTAAAAATATAATTTTATACATTTTAATAATAAATTAAAGAAATTAATAATAGCTTTTATACTGTATATACAGTAAAAAGTATGTATCATCATTGTCATCACCATCATTACCTCCAGGCTAACATATATTAAAATTATTAAAACAGATTAAAAAAAAAGAAAAAAAAAAGTTTTTCAATTTGACTTAAAGTTTCAGTGAAAACACTTACGGATGGTGTAATTCTTTCTACTTTACATGACGCTGTGTGTGGTTGTAAAATGTATAAAGAGGCTCAATATGCTGCTGATTTTCTGTTATACAGCTCATCCAACTTCCTCAGTGCAACACAGATGCAGAGCAGTAAAAAATCATCTCACTTTTGTTTAGATCAGTGGAGACAAGTGCTCTGTGGAAGGCTGTCAGCGCCTGAATGAAACCAGTCAGTCAAGCCCTCAGACGAGCAGCACTTGACAGGCCATTTTGTAATTCCTTGGGAGAGGCAGAAATCTTCTGTTTTAATCCTCCTCGCTCATCATCCTGACAGTTCTTTAATCAATCTTTCCTGCCTCCATCCCCTGAGGGGGAAGGGTGTACACCTCGCCATCCTCTGCAGATGAGTCTAAAGCCCAACGGTGATAGACATCCCTATCAGAGACCAATTTCCTACACCTAATGCGGACACACACAACCACACACACTAATGCACCTGTAACGTTCTTTCTCTGTGAGAGTGGTAATTTTTTGTAAAAGATTTGACAGCGATTCCAAATTACATGCCTGTCATTGACCATCATACATATGCAGATCTGTGTTTAGACAGCTTGATTCAGTGCCGTCTTTTATTTACCTCCTACATAATTCTCAAAATTAGTTTTTTTTTAAAGCTTGGAGGATTTCTAGGGTTTCTTCTTGCTTTCTGCAGTGGTGCAGCTTTGATCAGCTCATGCATCGTCAAACCAAATGGGCTTTTTTATATCTTCAACAGATTTTTACAACTTCCAAATATGCCTTAGAGCGCTGTTTGTGCATCTGAAAATTGCAGCGTTTGTGCATCTCACAGCATGTTATACGTGTCTTTTTGCAGACAGGAAGCTGCTCCATGATGTGAAGGTTCCACAAGGTGAGTCACTGCCACTTCACCTTTCATCTGTGTTTCTTTTATTTTTCACTTTGATTTTTTTTAAACTTCAGTTTCATAAATTCATTTACGTGCATTGCATTGCATTACTTTTGAATATGCTCAAAGGCATATGAAGCATGATGTAATAACGTCACATTGCATCACAATCATCCATCTTCATATGATCGCTCTGTTCACGGTGTCTGTATAATTAACCCCTTTTACTGTTATCATCATTCTGAGTCACGCTCGACAAACAACCTTATTGCAACCTTTACATAAGCTCATTTCCACACTGACATTGTTTAACATTGGGTTTCCAGTGAATCATCATCATCCAGGACACCATTTGAAACAACCTGGAAAACCAATTAAGTTGATGACATTTTAAAGACAGCTTTCAGAGTGCTGACTCAATGACTGAAACGGTGCCACATTAACTTGACAATGACGCACAGCAAAGATTAAACGTCTTTGACAGGTTTTGCTTGAGGAATGTCAGTGCCCCCATCATGATTATAACACAGTCAAACAGTAAACGTAACCTTTTACTATTTGTTTATTTATTCAAAAGTTTGGGGTCAGTAAGATTTATTAAATGTTTTCGAAAGAAGTCTCTTATGTATGGAAGTCTGTTTCTGCCATAGAATAAAACATTTAAAAATATATAATTGCGACTTTTTTTCTTGCAATTCTGAGAAGAAGAAAAAATCATAATTGCGAGATATAAACTTGTGAATTCTAACATTTTCTAACAATTTCGAGTTATCTCGCAATTATGACTTTTTTCTCAGAATTCTGACTTTGCATCTTGCAATTCTTTTTGTTTGTTTGCATGTTTGTTTCCATCACAGAATAAAACACAAAAAGAGAGAAAAAAGTCATAATTGTGAGATTAAAAGTTGCAATATATATATTTTTTTTTTGTTGTTGCAGAAACAGACTTTCATACTTATGCTCACATTTATTTGATGAAACATACAGTAAAAACAGTAATATTATTAAATATCTTTACAATTGAAAAGTTGTGTTGCTTAATATTTTTGGTGGGATCGATGGTGCGTTTTTTTTAGGATTCTTCAAAAGATCAGCATTATATATATATATA